CTGTGCGATGTCTCATACTAGTAATCGCAATGTTTGTTATGTCCATCCTATTATAAACTTTTACAATAATCTTGAAAAGTTCTGAAAAATCTGGTTCTGAAAACTCTTCATCTGTTTTTTCAATCTAGAATTAAATATAATATCTCATTGATATATTATTTTTGTTTGTAATTATTAACAAAAGGTAGTTTTTATAAAAAATATTATTTTTTTTAAGTATACATTTACTTTAATAACTTCATATTTAACATAGATACTTTATAAGTAATTATTTAATCTGTGCTAAGAAATTATATTCTTGCTGAATTTTTTGATTGATTTTCTCCTTTTCTTTAACGTTTCTTTGGAATATTACGTAGGAGATTGTCCATAAATTACGCAACGCAAAACTTATTTTAAAAATATAAGTAGGAGATCATTTTCCTCTTTTGCGCGGTGGTTTTCGCTGGACTTTAAAGGTTGTTTGTATACTTGGTTTAATTAATGGCTCTTTGAGGGAATACTTTTAATGCTTTGTCTTTTGTCTATAAGTTTAACTTCACGTTACGTAATTTATGGACAATTCCTAGGGTAAATTACCCACGCAAAAATATTAGCCCGTATTTTGACCCGCTTCAAAATTGCGCAAAATTATTTATAAGCTTGACAGCTGAAAACCTTAAACCAAATTGAAATGTTTTCAAGTGATAGCAGAGTTGATGTAGAATTAAATGCAGAAATAGAAAGGGAAAAGTTTAAATATTCAGCAGGTTCTTGTTTCATTTATTTATAAAATAAGCTTATTCTCTTTTGTTTAACTCTTAATGTTCTTAAACTTCAAAGTTCTTAAAAAATTAATTTAGAAAATTGTAAGTGTCAAATGTGTAAGTGTCCCCTTGATGAAATTATTACTTGTGAGAATAAATCTTCCTCGTTAGACATTAGGGCTCAATTTAACAGTTGGGCATCAGACTAAAACATTTACTAAAACATTTGATAATTCAAAATATTTGATAATATTAAATTACCTTTTTTTTTTGTTATTATTTTTTTTTTTTACAGCATCTTTGTTCAATCCTTTTACTAATTTATCTGATGTCCATCCAAGCTTGAATATTGTGATGTAAATGTCTGAAATATATATTTTTTGAATGTACTTTAATTAAAATTTTATTTTTAAGTTTTACGCGCTCATTTTGCGCAAGGTCGTTTACAAGAAAAGATGCGATAATTAAAAGCCCATTTTTCATGTCAAGAAGCGTAGTAAGTTACAAAGTAATTAATGAAATTAAAATGGGTAATTACAACCTTCGCGATTAAATATGTAAGATATGTTTTTGCATTTCTTCAGAGAGAATCTTTTAGCATGGTATAAAAAAATTTTATATACACCTTCGACACATATTTTTTACCAGCTGCCTCTCCCCTCCTTCCTTCGTCCTTTACAACAAACTGAGTTATTTAAAAAAATGAAAATCAAAACAAATGTTTCTCTAATTTAAGACTAAGAAAAAAAGTAAGAACAGAATTATTTTTAATCACAAGTAATTCTTGATATTTATAATGTTCTTTAACCGATTTTGATCTTGATTTTGGTCCCTTTTTTTAAAAAAAAATTTTTTTAAACACTAGGTTATTTTTAACGAGTATTGCAAGTTTTTATTCAAGGCTGAGGTTCATTCATATTATCTAGCAGCCTGCTTTTGGGAAACTTCATTACGCTGATCAAACATGATTTTGAGGCGAATGAAATTTTTTAAAATGATTTTTTATTCATTTTCTGGCAGCACGACCTCTAGCTTTAACTATTTTATAATACTCAGAAAAAATGATCAAAATAACAACGAAACGCATAAACTAAGAACCGACGAGGTCGTCTTTTTAAGACTCGAATTTAAATGAAAGACGAATTTAGATCATATGCGTGCACCGAATTTAACTGAAAGACTAATTTATGCGGTATATGTAGCCCGAACTTAACTGAAAGATGAGTTTGGACTTCTAAACCAAATTGAATAATTTTTTTAAATAAAATTTTGATAAAAAACCAGCATTAAACATTCTCCAAGAATAGTTTGAAAATGTTTTTTTAGAACATGCTGCAACTGCAATCCTAATTAAAATAGTATTTTGATTAGGCTTGCAGTTTCAGATTTTTTTTAACATCTTTGCAGGAAGGTGTATCGTCAAGTTCACATTTCCAATAAGTAAAAAACTTACTACTGTCCTATCAGTTTTATCATACATGTTTTCTGATCATTGATTTTGTAAATTCTGATTCATAAATCTACACACACTGTAATAAACTAGACAGTTTAACATAGCTTGTTGAACAGCCAAGTTCTAGATTCGTTGTAAATTACATAGTTAATCTTAAACTTAACTTATTCTTAAACCAATAGACTAACTTAATCTTAAACCAATAGACTAACTTAATCTTAAACCAATAGAATAACTTAATCTTAAACCAATAGACTAACTTAATCTTAAACCAATAGACTAACTTAATCTTAAACCAATAGAATAACTTAATCCTAAACCAATAGACTAACTTAATCTTAAACCAATAAAATAACTTATTCTTAAACCAATAGAATAATTGAACCTTAAATCATTAAAACTGTTACATAAATATACACCTTAATTTAACAAAATAAACAAAATTCATAGTATTAAAAATGCCATCTTATTGATATTTTTATAAAAGGTAATTTTTATCAAAACTAATAGAAATAAATTATTTTTATATTATGAATATGCTATATTTTTTATAAGGTTTATATAAAAATATCTTAAAATGGAATAAATAAAACTCCACTTTAAAAAAATATATTATCTATAAATAAAAATAACTTTTGAAAGTCAAAAATAAAATGAAACTGTTATCATCATGACCAAAATATTTATTGCACGTACATTCTTTTTGATAATTTCAAGAAAACTTTTTTATAATAAACCACTACAAATGAGCATCTTTTACAAGCCACACGCTTGCAGTACCACTTTTGCAAGTCATCACGTGATGTTTACTTTTTATACCACAATACTTGGATCATAGCTTTACTTAGATAAACATAACGCAAACATCAAGTTTTATAATAATTTGATACCTTGTATTAGATTATTATAACCTGATATTAGGCATATAGGTTACTTTGTATTAGATATTTATCAACTTTGAAAAAACAAGCTGCAAAACGCTTTTGTTTTTCAATGTACAACATGTGGATATTAAATAATTTTAATGAGAAAAACACTGATATACGCCATTATATGTTTAAAAATTTTCATTAGAAAGCATTTTGATTTCACATCTGTGAAATCAAAAACTTCTGTTAAAGAGATCCCAATAAGAGATCATAAATCTCCAAGAAATGTTGTGTTCGTATTAAAGAGAATGATAAAATAAAATGTTTTGGCTAAAATTTTTTAATAATAACAAATTAGGAAAAGCATTCCAAAAATAGTATATATATAAAAAAATGAATTGCAGATTTTTTTTAACCTCCTTGCAAGAAGGTGTGTTGTCAAGTACACATTTCCAATAAGTAAAAAACTTACTATTGTCCTATCAGTTTTATCATACATGTTTATGATCAGTGATTTTATAAATTATGATTGAAGTAACAATTTCAAATGTAAAACTATGCAAATTATAGAGGTAACATAGTGGTTAAACGAGCATCTTTTTCACTTATTTTTACTTTAAAACTTATCTATCATGATTAAACAAAGATTTTGCAAATAAACATATACTCTTTAACGAGTAAAAAAATTACTTATATTTTAACATATTAACATATTAAAAGATTAACTTTTTGACCAAGTACGCCATGATCCTCGCTTACTTAACGACATATTTTAATGTAGACGTATAATTATTCCAGTCTACATGGCACTCAGTTTTGTTAGTCGCGTGAACTAGTCACGCTGGATGGTTTTTAGCCTAAAACTAAGATTGTGTTTTCCTCATTTAAAAAGAAAAGAAGTCAATTTTTTTTTCCCGCTAGAATACTTATGAGCAATGTATGCTATATGTATGCTATGTGAAACTAAGGTAATAAACTAAAGTTGAATAGAAAAGTAAATAAACAAAACCTAATTAACACCACAATATCCGACTTTAGTTAAACGCGCAGGAGTGGTGACACTGTACTTCATTCACACCATAATTTAACATAACAATGTTGTATTAAGCTTATTTAAAACATTAACATAACTTTTATTAGTATAACCAAATAACATAACATCGATCACTCAATTTTTACAGATGAAATAGTATATTAAGAAATAAATCATGTTATGAATTTAACATGTTATATACTGACCCTAACCCGAATACGAACTAATAATGTTGATTATGTTACGAATTGAAGATAGCACAAACAAATTGTTTTCTAAGATTTGAAGTCAAAAAGTTATGATAGATTTTAAATCAGCGTTTTGAATTTCTTCCGAGAGATATAAACGATAAAAGAGCACGTCATCCGCACATAAACGAATAAAACCCGATTTTTACAGCGACTAATCTTAAACCATCTGAGTACTAAGTTTAACATTTTATATTAAAAAAAAAATGACAGCAATAAAAGGTTTTTAAAGTTACAAATTATTTTTTTTAGCTTTGGACTTCTTTTCTTTTTTTTTGTCATTTCAAAAAAAACTTTAACTTTGGCGTGCCTAGGGTGCCGAAGTATCTATTTGCCAAGATCGCCCAAATCCTAGCTACAAATCTCATTATATCACACTTACATCAAATCTATTTAAATTGTTAATTAAAACATGCATATCAAATTTTAGTTAAAACAACGTCAGATCAATGATGTCATAGCCACTGTAATTGCATGTTAAAAAAGAAGTGTTATGTTCAGAAGAATGGAAAGCCGTTAGAAAAAAATTAATTTGATGGGCCACTTTTCCAGTATACTACCTAAATGTATTTAACTATGATTTTAATATCAGGATGAGATTAAAAGAAAAGTTTTTTATTGTGTTTCTTAAAGTTAATCAGATTTAACGAATAATTTAAATATTGTGTTATACTGAAAACTCTACCTTGGCTTTAAAAAGTAGAGCTACAAAAAACGCAATCAAAAAATAAACATAATATTAAAAAACGCCGTAACTTTTACAAAAATACATTAATTAAAAATTCAGGTTGAATTTTTTTTTAAAGTTTGCTTCTTTTAGCTTTAAGGTTTTTTTGAATTGCGCCTCTTTTATTTTGTTGCTTTTTTTGGCTGGTCTTTTTTGTATTCGTTGATCTTTTAGAACTTTTCTTTGCATTCTTTGACACTGTTTTTTTTGAATTTTTCTTCTTACTTTCTTTTTTCAGTTTGTTTTCCTCTGTTAAAAAGAAAATATTAAAATTGATTAGAAAGAATTAAAAAAAAATGTCAATAATAATTTATAAAATAACAATTATTAGATAATAATAAATAAATAAAAACTCGGCACTTTGAAGATACAAAACAAAAAGCCTAAAACATTTTTACTTTAATATCTGACATAATATTTACGTGAAGTTTTTAAATAAAACAAGTCGCTATAGTAATTGAAAATCTAAACTAATAAAAAAAGTACTTTTTTTCTTCTTATCTTCATCATAGCAATCATCGTCTTCTTCATCGCATTCTTCTGTTTCTCCTCCATTTTCGCAATCATCATCATCTTCATTGCATTCTTCTATATCTACTTCAACTTCGCAATCTTCGTCATCTTCTTCGCATTCTTCCTCTTCTTCGTCATCGTTACGTTTCTTTAATTTAGATTTAGTTTCCCCTTGTGAAAAAATGAGATTTAAAAAATTATATTACATCGTAATTATAACGTTTTAGCAATGTCAATTATAATAATTGCTTTTCAAAGATCCTCTTTAAAGAATAGAATAATTATTTTACTAGTTAATGTAAAAAGAACTATTCATTAACGTAAACAAAACATTTTTGAGTTCTAATATAAATCAAGTCGGTGAAATAAATAAAATCGTAAAGTATTAGAAATGTACTTTTCTTTTTCTTTTTTTCCTCTTCACAATCATCATCATCTTCATTGCATTCTTCTATATCTACTACGTCTTCGCAATCTTCATCATCGTCATCGCATATTTCCTCATCACCATCATCGCTACGTTTCTTTTTTTCAACTTTAGTTTCTATAGTTAAAAGTATTGAGATTAACAAAATTATATGACATTCTAATGAAAACGATAAAACTGCGTTAATGAAAGTTTTTGCTTTTAAATGTTTCTGCTTAATAAACAAAAACAAGATTTTATTAGTTAATTTCATAACAAATTTTTATCAACGTTTTTTTATATATTGCTTATATTCCTTATAACAAAAAATGTTACTATCATTTTTCAAAAACCATCTAATACTTTAATTGTGTTTTAAGAATACACATAATAACGGATGACATGGATTGTTTTGAGCAACTGATCAAAATATCTATTTTTGTTCTAAATTTTTTTAGTTTGTTCCAAAAAAAAACAGACATGGTATTATGGTGAAGTACTTTAATGCCAAATCTTTTAACTAAATAGGTCAAAATTACAAAAAACCTTATCAGTGTATCCTGTTGTACATCGCAAATAAATATTATTTGTTCCAGTTTATTTTAGTAAATTATTAACAAATTTGCTCATTGTTGCAGAAAATCTCTACTTAGGTAAAAAGCGAGTGTATTCAGTAACCTTAATTGGTATCAGTAAAAATAATGTTTTTTGCTAATTCGCAGAAGCACTTTACCTGCAACTTGTCTTTTGGGTGGTACATCGTGACTCTTAGGTATATTCTTTTCAATACTCATGCTGTACACACAAACCAACATCATTACTAGCACAATTATTAGCTTCATTTCTGCTTTGAATTACTTGTAATCCGAAAAAAACACAGTCTAATAAAAAGTAGATAATCTAGAAATTCATCGAACTATTTATGTTAATAAAATCTTTAAGATAATGAAAACAGAAAACCTTCAAATTTCATACCTGAATCTTGGATGTAATACAAATAGATGTGATGATGCTATGTAGAAATACGATGTTATTTATATGTTTTCGGTGTCTTTGAAGCAAGTAGGTCATTTTATAGATGTATTATACATAGGATATAAAAAAAGTATAACGCAGCAGTCAACCATTATGTCATTAGCCTTCAAATTTAATTTAAAGTTTTATCTTAATTTACTGCTTTTTAATTTTGTGTTTCTCTTTTGTGCTTTGAAAAATATTTTTCAAAAAAATTTAAGCTTCTATTTACACTTAAACATTAAAGTATGCAGGGAAGCTTTTAGTGGATTAAAATAATAAAAATTGAGGCTTATAACTGACTAAATCCAGTTATGTATAACATTATTTTTATTATTTTGTTCAGAAAAATAGATAACTTTCTATTACTTCGCATCAGTTGGTAAATAACAAGTTGTTCGTGATTCTTAAACTAAAACTTAATTTCAATATTTTGTATTACTTTCAAAACTGCATGTCAACACTTTTGAAAATGTTTACTGTTTAAGAAATAGACTTCTAAAGGTTTTGTGTACTTTTTTACTAAACTACGAACAAAAAATATTATATTTTATTATTAATGACCACTCCTTTAATTTCTTTATAAATAAAGAAACTATTAAAACTTTTGAAAAGAAAGAAAAAATGCCTAAATATTGCATTCTTGAAAAACTTTATCAAAACTTCAGAATCATCTTACAAATGTTTATTTATTAAGTGATTTTAAGAAACGTTTGTAATTTCTAAAAAGTGCCTAAAAGATACATTCAAATTGAAAATGAAAATGGTTTTAGAGTGAAGCTCAGAAAAGCGCGCTTAGTTCTACCGACTTAAGTTAAAACCTTTTAGCTAACATTGGGACAACGCTAGCTAAAGTTGTCATGTTGCTAGAGGCAAGGTATAAATAAAAGTTTTTTAATACAAAAAGTTAAACCTAACAAAAATTGAAAATAGACAATAGTTTTAAAAGATTTTAAGATTAATTTTATGTGCATTTAGTTTTTAGTTGTTGATATTCAAATAATATATTGCATCAAAATAAGAAGGGATTTATTAAAAGTCATTTAACCGATAACGATATACTTTCAAATTTCCCGCAATATTACTGAATCTTTTAAAAAATATCAATATACATTGGTCTTTTTATTGATTTATTAAAAGCCTTTGATACCAATGACAACAAAATCAATTTAAAAAAATAGAATGTTATGGAATTGAAAAAAATGTTTTAATAATACTTAAAAATTATTAAAGCAACTTTAAACAGTTTGTTTACATTAATGCAACTTTTTTATGCTAACTTATTAGACATAACATGTGGGGTCACGCAAAGTTTTATACATGACCTCTTCTCTTTCTAATTTACATTAGTGAACACCCTAAAGCCTCAAATTTAATGACGATTATGTTTGCCAATGAAACTAATTTCTTTTTATATCATAAAAACATTATAACATTATTTCAAAATATAAACTTTGAATAAAAAAAAGATTGTGACATTTTAAAAATGAATAAGTTTTCACTACATGTTGACATACTAAATGGATACTTTTTTATCATACTTCGAAAAAAAAAACTACTTCCTTCTGTCATGCCCTTACTTTTTATAGAGGAAATTCATATAAAAAGAGAACTAATTTCTAACATTTAAGGATATAATGTTGATGAAAACATTTGTTTGAAGTATCACGTTGATTTGTTATGCAACAAAGTTGCCCAAAATATAAGAGTAATGTAAAAAGCTAGAAATTCTTTAAATAAATACAGTTTAACCTAATTATATTATTTTTTGATCTGCTGCCATATAAATTATGCATATATTTCCTGGGGTAATAAATCTAAACTGCTACTACTTTATCGTCAGCAGAAGCATTTTGCTTGTTTTATTAGTTGTAAAGATCGATTTGCTCGTTCCAAACCATCATTATTTCAAATGAAAAATCCTTTTATTTATCAGCTTAATATTTTTGATACAGTTTGTTTTGTGTACAAACTTAAAACCAACAAATCTCATGCCTTGTTTCATAATCTATTTACTTTAAAAAATAAAAATAAATATTATATTTTTATCATGTTAAAGTTAATTTGTTTTATCATTTTTTTACACAGACTGAATGTTTTTTATTTGTTTTTTTTTAAGTTTCCTCTTTTGTGTTAATTAATTTTGTCCTTTTGTTCGTATACTGTTAAAGGTAAAATGCAAAAGTTCACAAAGTAACCACAAAATTGCATCGTTTCTTCAATTTCAAGAATCTGTAACTGAGTTGAATTTACTAAACTTAAGTATAGCAAAAAAACTAAACAAACGAGAAGCCTCATACTGAGGAGACAATTATAAACGCATTGAATAAGATTGAAATGGGCGAGTTAAGCTTAAGAGGCGCATCTTAATTCTACCGCATACTAAAATCAACTTAATTTCGCCTGCAACTCAAACTTCAATTTTAACATTAAATTTAACTTCTCAATAAGAATTAGTGACTCGTATAAAAATTAGTCTTAAAAGAGCTCTCTTAAAGCAATTTCAATTCCAAAACGCTAAAAAACATCCTGCAAAATAAGCCAAAAATGTTACAACAGTGGCAAAAATGTTACAACAGTGGCTAATGTAAATGTTACAACAGTGCAAAAACTTTTTAAGATTGTTCAAGCAAACATTGGTATTAGGTTTGTACTCCAGACATATTCATTTAATAAAAAAAACTCACTCAAAAAAAATCAATCTAAGTTCTACTAATTCCTAATTATTTAAAAAATATGTTTAAAAATTCAACGTAATTAAACCCTTTTAAATTTGCCATTTATTGTAGAAATAAAAAGAAATGTGCGTGAAAAATAATTAAACGATATCAAAACTAAAAGAATCCAACAGTTTTTTTTTTTTTTCATTTAGTTAAATTTGTAAAGCTAAAAAGGTAATGTTATCTAATCTAACTTTTTTTTTTTGTTAACGGTCTATTTAAACCTAAAAAGTTGCAACATTCAAAAACGTGTTTTATTATAAATGTTTGACTATCAAATTATTTTGTTTTTATGTTAAACTAATCGTTTTAATAAAACCCAAACATCTTATCGGTTTACAGTCTATAAAACGTATTACCGTTAAAAGGTAATGATATTTTATTTAAGTTGAAAACAGTAAATATGAGTTTGCCAACAAACACTTGATTATGGCAGTTTAACTCCATGACTATAAATCAGAATGTTACAAGTTAAATGTCCACTATTTTAGGTTTTGAGAAAAACTGATTTAAGAAAAATTTCTGTTGTAGACAGCATATGAAAAGATTTTTATTAGGTGTATTTTACTGCGAATTTTTAACTTATTAATTAAGTTTAAATGCAATAGAAAAATACTGTCATTAAAAGCAATCAGTAACACATATTTTTATAAAAACTGATTTTCCAGTTCATACATTTATAAATTGGATATAGAAAAAAAAAGTTCTTATCTTGATCTTTACATGAAATGAATTTATCTTTATTAAGTAATAACAACAACGCTTAAAGTAAACACTTTCTCAGCGTATATATACATTTATATATATATATATATATATATATATATATATATATATATATATATATATATATATATATATATATATATATATATATATATACATATATATATATATATATCATCGAGAGCCTAGGGTGCCGAAGTATCTATTTGCCAAGACCGCCTAAATCCTAGCTACAAATCTCATTATATCACACTTACATCAAATCTATTTAAATTGTTAATTAAAACATGCATATCAAATTTTAGTTAAAACAACGTCAGATCAATGATGTCATAGCCACTGTAATTGCATGTTAAAAAAGAAGTGTTATGTTCAGAAGAATGGAAAGCCGTTAGAAAAAAATTAATTTGATGGGCCACTTTTCCAGTATACTACCTAAATGTATTTAACTATGATTTTAATATCAGGATGAGATTAAAAGAAAAGTTTTTTATTGTGTTTCTTAAAGTTAATCAGATTTAACGAATAATTTAAATATTGTGTTATACTGAAAACTCTACCTTGGCTTTAAAAAGTAGAGCTACAAAAAACGCAATCAAAAAATAAACATAATATTAAAAAACGCCGTAACTTTTACAAAAATACATTAATTAAAAATTCAGGTTGAATTTTTTTTTAAAGTTTGCTTCTTTTAGCTTTAAGGTTTTTTTGAATTGCGCCTCTTTTATTTTGTTGCTTTTTTTGGCTGGTCTTTTTTGTATTCGTTGATCTTTTAGAACTTTTCTTTGCATTCTTTGACACTGTTTTTTTTGAATTTTTCTTCTTACTTTCTTTTTTCAGTTTGTTTTCCTCTGTTAAAAAGAAAATATTAAAATTGATTAGAAAGAATTAAAAAAAAATGTCAATAATAATTTATAAAATAACAATTATTAGATAATAATAAATAAATAAAAACTCGGCACTTTGAAGATACAAAACAAAAAGCCTAAAACATTTTTACTTTAATATCTGACATAATATTTACGTGAAGTTTTTAAATAAAACAAGTCGCTATAGTAATTGAAAATCTAAACTAATAAAAAAAGTACTTTTTTTCTTCTTATCTTCATCATAGCAATCATCGTCTTCTTCATCGCATTCTTCTGTTTCTCCTCCATTTTCGCAATCATCATCATCTTCATTGCATTCTTCTATATCTACTTCAACTTCGCAATCTTCGTCATCTTCTTCGCATTCTTCCTCTTCTTCGTCATCGTTACGTTTCTTTAATTTAGATTTAGTTTCCCCTTGTGAAAAAATGAGATTTAAAAAATTATATTACATCGTAATTATAACGTTTTAGCAATGTCAATTATAATAATTGCTTTTCAAAGATCCTCTTTAAAGAATAGAATAATTATTTTACTAGTTAATGTAAAAAGAACTATTCATTAACGTAAACAAAACATTTTTGAGTTCTAATATAAATCAAGTCGGTGAAATAAATAAAATCGTAAAGTATTAGAAATGTACTTTTCTTTTTCTTTTTTTCCTCTTCACAATCATCATCATCTTCATTGCATTCTTCTATATCTACTACGTCTTCGCAATCTTCATCATCGTCATCGCATATTTCCTCATCACCATCATCGCTACGTTTCTTTTTTTCAACTTTAGTTTCTATAGTTAAAAGTATTAAGATTAACAAAATTATATGACATTCTAATGAAAACGATAAAACTGCGTTAATGAAAGTTTTTGCTTTTAAATGTTTCTGCTTAATAAACAAAAACAAGATTTTATTAGTTAATTTCATAACAAATTTTTATCAACGTTTTTTTATATATTGCTTATATTCCTTATAACAAAAAATGTTACTATCATTTTTCAAAAACCATCTAATACTTTAATTGTGTTTTAAGAATACACATAATAACGGATGACATGGATTGTTTTGAGCAACTGATCAAAATATCTATTTTTGTTCTAAATTTTTTTAGTTTGTTCCAAAAAAAAACAGACATGGTATTATGGTGAAGTACTTTAATGCCAAATCTTTTAACTAAATAGGTCAAAATTACAAAAAACCTTATCAGTGTATCCTGTTGTACATCGCAAATAAATATTATTTGTTCCAGTTTATTTTAGTAAATTATTAACAAATTTGCTCATTGTTGCAGAAAATCTCTACTTAGGTAAAAAGCGAGTGTATTCAGTAACCTTAATTGGTATCAGTAAAAATAATGTTTTTTGCTAATTCGCAGAAGCACTTTACCTGCAACTTGTCTTTTGGGTGGTACATCGTGACTCTTAGGTATATTCTTTTCAATACTCATGCTGTACACACAAACCAACATCATTACTAGCACAATTATTAGCTTCATTTCTGCTTTGAATTACTTGTAATCCGAAAAAAACACAGTCTAATAAAAAGTAGATAATCTAGAAATTCATCGAACTATTTATGTTAATAAAATCTTTAAGATAATGAAAACAGAAAACCTTCAAATTTCATACCTGAATCTTGGATGTAATACAAATAGATGTGATGATGCTATGTAGAAATACGATGTTATTTATATGTTTTCGGTGTCTTTGAAGCAAGTAGGTCATTTTATAGATGTATTATACATAGGATATAAAAAAAGTATAACGCAGCAGTCAACCATTATGTCATTAGCCTTCAAATTTAATTTAAAGTTTTATCTTAATTTACTGCTTTTTAATTTTGTGTTTCTCTTTTGTGCTTTGAAAAATATTTTTCAAAAAAATTTAAGCTTCTATTTACACTTAAACATTAAAGTATGCAGGGAAGCTTTTAGTGGATTAAAATAATAAAAATTGAGGCTTATAACTGACTAAATCCAGTTATGTATAACATTATTTTTATTATTTTGTTCAGAAAAATAGATAACTTTCTATTACTTCGCATCAGTTGGTAAATAACAAGTTGTTCGTGATTCTTAAACTAAAACTTAATTTCAATATTTTGTATTACTTTCAAAACTGCATGTCAACACTTTTGAAAATGTTTACTGTTTAAGAAATAGACTTCTAAAGGTTTTGTGTACTTTTTTACTAAACTACGAACAAAAAATATTATATTTTATTATTAATGACCACTCCTTTAATTTCTTTATAAATAAAGAAACTATTAAAACTTTTGAAAAGAAAGAAAAAATGCCTAAATATTGCATTCTTGAAAAACTTTATCAAAACTTCAGAATCATCTTACAAATGTTTATTTATTAAGTGATTTTAAGAAACGTTTGTAATTTCTAAAAAGTGCCTAAAAGATACATTCAAATTGAAAATGAAAATGGTTTTAGAGTGAAGCTCAGAAAAGCGCGCTTAGTTCTACCGACTTAAGTTAAAACCTTTTAGCTAACATTGGGACAACGCTAGCTAAAGTTGTCATGTTGCTAGAGGCAAGGTATAAATAAAAGTTTTTTAATACAAAAAGTTAAACCTAACAAAAATTGAAAATAGACAATAGTTTTAATAGATTTTAAGATTAATTTTATGTGCATTTAGTTTTTAGTTGTTGATATTCAAATAATATATTGCATCAAAATAAGAAGGGATTTATTAAAAGTCATTTAACCGATAACGATATACTTTAAATTTCCCGCAATATTACTGAATCTTTTAAAAAATATCAATATACATTGGTCTTTTTATTGATTTATTAAAAGCCTTTGATACCAATGACAACAAAATCAATTTAAAAAAATAGAATGTTATGGAATTGAAAAAAATGTTTTAATAATACTTAAAAATTATTAAAGCAACTTTAAACAGTTTGTTTACATTAATGCAACTTTTTTATGCTAACTTATTAGACATAACATGTGGGGTCAGGCAAAGTTTTATACATGACCTCTTCTCTTTCTAATTTACATTAGTGAACACCCTAAAGCCTCAAATTTAATGACGATTATGTTTGCCAATGAAACTAATTTCTTTTTATATCATAAAAACATTATAACATTATTTCAAAATATAAACTTTGAATAAAAAAAAGATTGTGACATTTTAAAAATGAATAAGTTTTCACTACATGTTGACATACTAAATGGATACTTTTTTATCATACTTCGAAAAAAAAAACTACTTCCTTCTGTCATGCCCTTACTTTTTATAGAGGAAATTCATATAAAAAGAGAACTAATTTCTAACATTTAAGGATATTATATCCTTAAATGTTAGAAATTAGTTCTTGAAAACACTTGTTTGAAGTATCACGTTGATTTGTTATGCAACAAAGTTGCCCAAAATATAAGAGTAATGTAAAAAGCTAGAAATTCTTTAAATAAATACAGTTTAACCTAATTATATTATTCTTTGATCTGCTGCCATATAAATTATGCATATATTTCCTGGGGTAATAAATCTAAACTGCTACTACTTTATTGTCAGCAGAAGCATTTTGCTTGTTTTATTAATTGTAAAGATCGATTTGCTCGTTCCAAACCATCATTATTTCAAATGAAAAATCCTTTTATTTATCAGCTTAATATTTTTGATACAGTTTGTTTTGTGTACAAACTTAAAACCAACAAATCTCATGCCTTGTTTCATAATCTATTTACTTTAAAAAATAAAAATAAATATTATATTTTTATCATGTTAAATTTAATTTGTTTTATCATTCTTTTACACAGACTGAATGTTTTTTATTTGTTTTTTTTTAAGTTTCCTCTTTTGTGTTAATTAATTTTGTCCTTTTGTTCTTATACTGTTAAAGGTAAAATGCAAAAGTTCACAAAGTAACCACAAAATTGCATCGTTTCTTCAATTTCAAGAATCTGTAACTGAGTTGAATTTACTAAACTTAAGTATAGCAAAAAAACTAAACAAACGAGAAGCCTCATACTGAGGAGACAATTATAAACGCATTGAACAAGATTGAAATGGGCGAGTTAAGCTTAAGAGGCGCATCTTAATTCTACCGCATACTAAAATCAACTTAATTTCGCCTGCAACTCAAACTTCAATTTTAACATTAAATTTAACTTCTCAATAAGAATTAGTGACTCGTATAAAAATTAGTCTTAAAAGAGCTCTCTTAAAGCAATTTCAATTCCAAAACGCTAAAAAACATCCTGCAAAATAAGCCAAAAATGTTACAACAGTGGCAAAAATGTTACAACAGTGGCTAATGTAAATGTTACAACAGTGCAAAAACTTTTTAAGATTGTTCAAGCAAACATTGGTATTAGGTTTGTACTCCAGACATATTCATTTAATAAAAAAAACTCACTCAAAAAAAATCAATCTAAGTTCTACTAATTCCTAATTATTTAAAAAATATGTTTAAAAATTCAACGTAATTAAACCCTTTTAAATTTGCCATTTATTGAAGAAATAAAAAGAAATGTGCGTGAAAAATAATTAAACGATATCAAAACTAAAAGAATCCAACAGTTTTTTTTTTTTTTCATTTAGTTAAATTTGTAAAGCTAAAAAGGTAATGTTATCTAATCTAACTTTTTTTTTTTGTTAACGGTCTATTTAAACCTAAAAAGTTGCAACATTCAAAAACGTGTTTTATTATAAATGTTTGACTATCAAATTATTTTGTTTTTATGTTAAACTAATCGTTTTAATAAAACCCAAACATCTTATCGGTTTACAGTCTATAAAACGTATTACCGTTAAAAGGTAATGATATTTTATTTAAGTTGAAAACAGTAAATATGAGTTTGCCAACAAACACTTGATTATGGCAGTTTAACTCCATGACTATAAATCAGAATGTTACAAGTTAAATGTCCACTATTTTAGGTTTTGAGAAAAACTGATTTAAGAAAAATTTCTGTTGTAGACAGCATATGAAAAGATTTTTATTAGGTGTATTTTACTGCGAATTTTTAACTTATTAATTAAGTTTAAATGCAATAGAAAAATACTGTCATTAAAAGCAATCAGTAACACATATTTTTATAAAAACTGATTTTCCAGTTCATACATTTATAAATTGGATATAGAAAAAAAAAGTTCTTATCTTGATCTTTACATGAAATGAATTTATCTTTATTAAGTAATAACAACAACGCTTAAAGTAAACACTTTCTCAGCGTATATATACATTTATATATATATATATATATATATATATATATATATTATATATATATATATATATATATATATATATATATATATATATATAAACATATATATATATATATATATATATATATATATATATATATATATATATATATATATATATATATTTATATATACACATATAAATATAAATATATATATATATATATATATATATATATATATATATATATATATATATATATATATATATATATATATATATATATATATATATATATATATATATATATATATATATATATATATATATATGTATATATATATATATATATATATATATATATATATATATATATATATATATATATATATATATATATATATATATATATATATATATATATATATATATTAGGGCTGTAGCGGATTTCGGCTCCAGTTCCTGCTCCGGCCGAAATCCGGCCATTTTTACAAATCCGGCCCAAATCCGGCTCCGGCAAAAATTTAGCAAATCCGGCATAATTTTAGCCGGAGTTTTGAATTTTGTCAAATATTTATTACATTTTTTTTGCCCGTGTTTACATGTATACCTAATATTTTATAAAAATCAATTTTTTTTGTAATTCTATATTTTATGAACCTCATATTTGTTTTGGTATTTGTATTTATATTTCTTTATAATTTAATAAGCTAAGTCTAATTTAAAACAACAACGCAACAAAAAATTCTGAAGGGAAGACACACGATATTCTAAAATGATGCAGGTATAAAGACTATGATGTCAACCCTAATCAAGTGATTGGATGAGCGTTTTAAAAGCATTGAAAAGAGAAACCTCTTTATATACTGACGAGGCTGGTTGACTCACAATTTAAAACTAAATACTCCTCATTACAGGCAACACTGACAGCTGAAAAAACAAGATTGAAGTCATCTGAGCATGCTGAACAGAAGATTGATAAAACTGGAGAAAATTTACCAAAATAAGCCGGGCTTAATAATTTTTTTACATCATCATCATTACTCTGGCAATTTATTGATAAAATTATTCAGTCTACGTCCGCTGGTGGCAGGGCATATAAACAACAATTACTAAAAGGCATTGAAACTCTGCTAAGGAAATTTCCGAAAGTACCAGAAATAAATAGACACAATGATCCACTACAGTGGCGGAGCGACAAAATCCCGGAAAAAAAGTTCAATAGAATTACTATAAACTTTATAACATATGGCCTATAGAATTTCTTTAGAATTTCTATTAATTTATATATAGAAATTGCTATAAAACTTTTTAAATAACAACAACAAAGTTTAACAGAAAACAGCAGTCACTTGGTATTCTGAATAGTCCACATTGTTGACCATGCTCAACACCAATTAGGGATGTACAGGATTTTGGCTCCAGTAGTTTTGTTTTGAAATCCGGCTCCGGCTCCGATTCCGGCCGGATCTGTCAGTAGAAATCCGGCAAATCCGGCTCCAGCCGGATTTGAAAAAATTTAATCCGGTACAGCCCTAATATATATATATATATATATATATATATATATATATATATATATATATATATATATATATATATATATATATATATATATATATATATATATATATATATATATATATATATATATATATATATATATATATATATATATATATATATATATATATATATATATATATATATATATATATATATATATATATATATATATATATATATATATATATATATATATATATATATATATATATATATATATAAATGTATATATACGCTGAGAAAGTGTTTACTTTAAGCGTTGTTGTTATTACTTAATAAAGATAAATTCATTTGATGTAAAGACCAAGATAAGAACTTTTATTTTCTATATCCAATTTATAAATGTATGAACTGGAAAATCAGTTTTTATAAAAATATGTGTTACTGATTGCTTTTAATGACAGTATTTTTCTATTGCATTTAAACTTAATTAATAAGTTAAAAATTCGCAGTAAAATACACCTAATAAAAATCTTTTCATATGCTGTCTACAACAGAAATTTTTCTTAAATCAGTTTTTCTCAAAAAAAATAGTGGACATTTAACTTGTAACATTCTGATTTATAGTCATGGAGTTAAACTGCCATAATCAAGTGTTTGTTGGCAAACTCATATTTACTGTTTTCAACTTAAATAAAATATCATTACCTTTTAACGGTAATACGTTTAATAGACTGTAAACCGATAAGATGTTTGGGTTTTATTAAAACGATTAGTTTAACATAAAAACAAAATAATTTGATAGTCAAACATTTATAATAAAACACGTTTTTGAATGTTGCAACTTTTTAGGTTTAAATAGACCGTTAACAAAAAAAAAAGTTAGATTAGATAACATTATCTTTTTAGCTTTACAAATTTAACTAAATGAAAAAAAAAAAAAACTGTTGGATTCTTTTAGTTTTGATATCGTTTAATTATTTTTCACGCACATTTCTTTTTATTTCTACAATAAATGGCAAATTTAAAAGGGTTTAATAACGTTGAATTTTTAAACACATTTTTTAAATAATTAGGAATTAGTAGAACTTAGATTGATTTTTTTTGAGTGAGTTTTTTTATTAAATGAATATGTCTGGAGTACAAACCTAATACCAATGTTTGCTTGAACAATCTTAAAAAGTTTTTGCACTGTTGTAACATTTACATTAGCCACTGTTGTAACATTTTTGCCACTGTTGTAACATTTTTGGCTTATTTTGCAGGATGTTTTTTAGCGTTTTGGAATTGAAATTGCTTTAAGAGAGCTCTTTTAAGACTAATTTTTATACGAGTCACTAATTCTTATTGAGAAGTTAAATTTAATGTTAAAATTGAAGTTTGAGTTGCAGGCGAAATTAAGTTGATTTTAGTATGCGGTAGAATTAAGATGCGCCTCTTAAGCTTAACTCGCCCATTTCAATCTTGTTCAATGCGTTTATAATTGTCTCCTCAGTATGAGGCTTCTCGTTTGTTTAGTTTTTTTGCTATACTTAAGTTTAGTAAATTCAACTCAGTTACAGATTCTTGAAATTGAAGAAACGATGCAATTTTGTGGTTACTTTGTGAACTTTTGCATTTTACCTTTAACAGTATAAGAACAAAAGGACAAAATTAATTAACACAAAAGAGGAAACTTAAAAAAAAACAAATAAAAAACATTCAGTCTGTGTAAAAGAATGATAAAACAAATTAAATTTAACATGATAAAAATATAATATTTATTTTTATTTTTTAAAGTAAATAGATTATGAAACAAGGCATGAGATTTGTTGGTTTTAAGTTTGTACACAAAACAAACTGTATCAAAAATATTAAGCTGATAAATAAAAGGATTTTTCATTTGAAATAATGATGGTTTGGAACGAGCAAATCGATCTTTACAATTAATAAAACAAGCAAAATGCTTCTGCTGACAATAAAGTAGTAGCAGTTTAGATTTATTACCCCAGGAAATATATGCATAATTTATATGGCAGCAGATCAAAGAATAATATAATTAGGTTAAACTGTATTTATTTAAAGAATTTCTAGCTTTTTACATTACTCTTATATTTTGGGCAACTTTGTTGCATAACAAATCAACGTGATACTTCAAACAAGTGTTTTCAAGAACTAATTTCTAACATTTAAGGATATAATATCCTTAAATGTTAGAAATTAGTTCTCTTTTTATATGAATTTCCTCTATAAAAAGTAAGGGCATGACAGAAGGAAGTAGTTTTTTTTTTCGAAGTATGATAAAAAAGTATCCATTTAGTATGTCAACATGTAGTGAAAACTTATTCATTTTTAAAATGTCACAATCTTTTTTTTATTCAAAGTTTATATTTTGAAATAATGTTATAATGTTTTTATGATATAAAAAGAAATTAGTTTCATTGGCAAACATAATCGTCATTAAATTTGAGGCTTTAGGGTGTTCACTAATGTAAATTAGAAAGAGAAGAGGTCATGTATAAAACTTTGCCTGACCCCACATGTTATGTCTAATAAGTTAGCATAAAAAAGTTGCATTAATGTAAACAAACTGTTTAAAGTTGCTTTAATAATTTTTAAGTATTATTAAAACATTTTTTTCAATTCCATAACATTCTATTTTTTTAAATTGATTTTGTTGTCATTGGTATCAAAGGCTTTTAATAAATCAATAAAAAGACCAATGTATATTGATATTTTTTAAAAGATTCAGTAATATTGCGGGAAATTTAAAGTATATCGTTATCGGTTAAATGACTTTTAATAAATCCCTTCTTATTTTGATGCAATATATTATTTGAATATCAACAACTAAAAACTAAATGCACATAAAATTAATCTTAAAATCTATTAAAACTATTGTCTATTTTCAATTTTTGTTAGGTTTAACTTTTTGTATTAAAAAACTTTTATTTATACCTTGCCTCTAGCAACATGACAACTTTAGCTAGCGTTGTCCCAATGTTAGCTAAAAGGTTTTAACTTAAGTCGGTAGAACTAAGCGCGCTTTTCTGAGCTTCACTCTAAAACCATTTTCATTTTCAATTTGAATGTATCTTTTAGGCACTTTTTAGAAATTACAAACGTTTCTTAAAATCACTTAATAAATAAACATTTGTAAGATGATTCTGAAGTTTTGATAAAGTTTTTCAAGAATGCAATATTTAGGCATTTTTTCTTTCTTTTCAAAAGTTTTAATAGTTTCTTTATTTATAAAGAAATTAAAGGAGTGGTCATTAATAATAAAATATAATATTTTTTGTTCGTAGTTTAGTAAAAAAGTACACAAAACCTTTAGAAGTCTATTTCTTAAACAGTAAACATTTTCAAAAGTGTTGACATGCAGTTTTGAAAGTAATACAAAATATTGAAATTAAGTTTTAGTTTAAGAATCACGAACAACTTGTTATTTACCAACTGATGCGAAGTAATAGAAAGTTATCTATTTTTCTGAACAAAATAATAAAAATAATGTTATACATAACTGGATTTAGTCAGTTATAAGCCTCAATTTTTATTATTTTAATCCACTAAAAGCTTCCCTGCATACTTTAATGTTTAAGTGTAAATAGAAGCTTAAATTTTTTTGAAAAATATTTTTCAAAGCACAAAAGAGAAACACAAAATTAAAAAGCAGTAAATTAAGATAAAACTTTAAATTAAATTTGAAGGCTAATGACATAATGGTTGACTGCTGCGTTATACTTTTTTTATATCCTATGTATAATACATCTATAAAATGACCTACTTGCTTCAAAGACACCGAAAACATATAAATAACATCGTATTTCTACATAGCATCATCACATCTATTTGTATTACATCCAAGATTCAGGTATGAAATTTGAAGGTTTTCTGTTTTCATTATCTTAAAGATTTTATTAACATAAATAGTTCGATGAATTTCTAGATTATCTACTTTTTATTAGACTGTGTTTTTTTCGGATTACAAGTAATTCAAAGCAGAAATGAAGCTAATAATTGTGCTAGTAATGATGTTGGTTTGTGTGTACAGCATGAGTATTGAAAAGAATATACCTAAGAGTCACGATGTACCACCCAAAAGACAAGTTGCAGGTAAAGTGCTTCTGCGAATTAGCAAAAAACATTATTTTTACTGATACCAATTAAGGTTACTGAATACACTCGCTTTTTACCTAAGTAGAGATTTTCTGCAACAATGAGCAAATTTGTTAATAATTTACTAAAATAAACTGGAACAAATAATATTTATTTGCGATGTACAACAGGATACACTGATAAGGTTTTTTGTAATTTTGACCTATTTAGTTAAAAGATTTGGCATTAAAGTACTTCACCATAATACCATGTCTGTTTTTTTTTGGAACAAACTAAAAAAATTTAGAACAAAAATAGATATTTTGATCAGTTGCTCAAAACAATCCATGTCATCCGTTATTATGTGTATTCTTAAAACACAATTAAAGTATTAGATGGTTTTTGAAAAATGATAGTAACATTTTTTGTTATAAGGAATATAAGCAATATATAAAAAAACGTTGATAAAAATTTGTTATGAAATTAACTAATAAAATCTTGTTTTTGTTTATTAAGCAGAAACATTTAAAAGCAAAAACTTTCATTAACGCAGTTTTATCGTTTTCATTAGAATGTCATATAATTTTGTTAATCTTAATACTTTTAACTATAGAAACTAAAGTTGAAAAAAAGAAACGTAGCGATGATGGTGATGAGGAAATATGCGATGACGATGATGAAGATTGCGAAGACGTAGTAGATATAGAAGAATGCAATGAAGATGATGATGATTGTGAAGAGGAAAAAAAGAAAAAGAAAAGTACATTTCTAATACTTTACGATTTTATTTATTTCACCGACTTGATTTATATTAGAACTCAAAAATGTTTTGTTTACGTTAATGAATAGTTCTTTTTACATTAACTAGTAAAATAATTATTCTATTCTTTAAAGAGGATCTTTGAAAAGCAATTATTATAATTGACATTGCTAAAACGTTATAATTACGATGTAATATAATTTTTTAAATCTCATTTTTTCACAAGGGGAAACTAAATCTAAATTAAAGAAACGTAACGATGACGAAGAAGAGGAAGAATGCGAAGAAGATGACGAAGATTGCGAAGTTGAAGTAGATATAGAAGAATGCAATGAAGATGATGATGATTGCGAAAATGGAGGAGAAACAGAAGAATGCGATGAAGAAGACGATGATTGCTATGATGAAGATAAGAAGAAAAAAAGTACTTTTTTTATTAGTTTAGATTTTCAATTACTATAGCGACTTGTTTTATTTAAAAACTTCACGTAAATATTATGTCAGATATTAAAGTAAAAATGTTTTAGGCTTTTTGTTTTGTATCTTCAAAGTGCCGAGTTTTTATTTATTTATTATTATCTAATAATTGTTATTTTATAAATTATTATTGACATTTTTTTTTAATTCTTTCTAATCAATTTTAATATTTTCTTTTTAACAGAGGAAAACAAACTGAAAAAAGAAAGTAAGAAGAAAAATTCAAAAAAAACAGTGTCAAAGAATGCAAAGAAAAGTTCTAAAAGATCAACGAATACAAAAAAGACCAGCCAAAAAAAGCAACAAAATAAAAGAGGCGCAATTCAAAAAAACCTTAAAGCTAAAAGAAGCAAACTTTAAAAAAAAATTCAACCTGAATTTTTAATTAATGTATTTTTGTAAAAGTTACGGCGTTTTTTAATATTATGTTTATTTTTTGATTGCGTTTTTTGTAGCTCTACTTTTTAAAGCCAAGGTAGAGTTTTCAGTATAACACAATATTTAAATTATTCGTTAAATCTGATTAACTTTAAGAAACACAATAAAAAACTTTTCTTTTAATCTCATCCTGATATTAAAATCATAGTTAAATACATTTAGGTAGTATACTGGAAAAGTGGCCCATCAAATTAATTTTTTTCTAACGGCTTTCCATTCTTCTGAACATAACACTTCTTTTTTAACATGCAATTACAGTGGCTATGACATCATTGATCTGACGTTGTTTTAACTAAAATTTGATATGCATGTTTTAATTAACAATTTAAATAGATTTGATGTAAGTGTGATATAATGAGATTTGTAGCTAGGATTTGGGCGATCTTGGCAAATAGATACTTCGGCACCCTAGGCACGCCAAAGTTAAAGTTTTTTTTGAAATGACAAAAAAAAAGAAAAGAAGTCAAAAGCTGAAAAAAATAATTTGTAACTTTAAAAACCTTTTATTGCTATCATTTTTTTTTTAATATAAAATGTTAAACTTAGTACTCAGATGGTTTAAGATTAGTCGCTGTAAAAATCGGGTTTTATTCGTTTATGTGCGGATGACGTGCTCTTTCATCGTTTATATCTCTCGGAAGAAATTCAAAACGCTGATTTAAAATCTATCATAACTTTTTGACTTCAAATCTTAGAAAACAAGTTGTTTGTGCTATCTTCAATTCGTAACATAATAAACATTATTAGTTCGTATTCGGGTTAGGGTCAGTATATAACATGTTAAATTCATAACATGATTTATTTCTTAATATACTATTTTATCTGTAAAAATTGAGTGATCGATGTTATGTTATTTGGTTATACTAATAAAAGTTATGTTAATGCTTTAAATAAGCTTAATACAACATTGTTATGTTAAATTATGGTGTGAATGAAGTACAGTGTCACCACTCCTGCGCGTTTAATTAAAGTCGGATATTGTGGTGTTAATTAGGTTTTGTTTATTTACTTTTCTATTCAGCTTTAGTTTATTTCCTTAGTTTCACATAGCATACATATAGCATACATTGCTCATAAGAGTTCTAGCGGGAAAAAAAAATTGACTTCTTTTCTTTTTAAATGAGGAAAACACAATCTTAGTTTTAGGCTAAAAACCATCCAGCGTGACTAGTTCACGCGACTAACAAAACTGAGTGCCATGTAGACTTGAACAATTATACGTCTTCTTTAAAATATGTCGTTAAGTAAGCGAGGATCATGGCGTACTTGGTCAAAAAGTTAATCTTTTAATATGTTAATATGTTAAAACATAAGTAATTTTTTTACTCGTTAAAGAGTATATGTTTATTTGCAAAATCTTTGTTTAATCATGATAGATAAGTTTTAAAGTAAAAATAAGTGAAAAAGATGCTCGTTTAACCACTATGTTACCTCTATAATTTGCATAGTTTTACATTTGAAATTGTTACTTCAATCATAATTTATAAAATCAATGATCATAAACATGTATGATAAAACTGATAGGACAATAGTAAGTTTTTTACTTATTGGAAATGTGAACTTGACGATACACCTTCCTGCAAAGATGTTAAAAAAAATCTGAAACTTGTTGCAGCATGTTCTAAAAAAATATTTCAAACTATTTTTGGAGAATGTTTAATGCTGGTTTTTTACCAAAATTTTAGTTTAAAAAACTATTTAACATACAGATATTTATAAAAACTGTATGGTATGTAAATTTTTTTAATGTAAAATTTTTTATGTATAATTTTGTAATTTTTTTAAATGTAAAATCTGTATTTAAATTAAAAGATGAATACTACAATTTTAATTATATTCCTGAATAAGTTGAATTAACAAAAAAAACTATAGTTTTTTTATTATATAAGTTTATTCAAGAATATAATTATATTTGCAGTGTTCATTTTTTGTAATAAATTTTCAGCAAGTATCAAGTTAATATTATGATATTAATGTGAGAGTTAATCTCAAGAGATAATAAAAAAATTGAAGTATGAATTTTATACACCTGTAATCAAAACGTTTTTTTTTTATAGTTATAAAATAACAATTTTAATATAGCATACCCAGACCTGACGTTTTAGTTAGCATTACAGTAAAAAGTTTAGAAAATTTACACTAGCTTGCACCTATTTATACAAAACATTTTATCTCGTCAATGCTTTTTATTAATGTATAAAAGCAGTAACTGTTTAGCAAAAAAACTGTCAAAAAATGTGGTTAGTACCTGTCATTAAAACGAATTAGTAACGCGTACAACCTCCTTTTACTTTAAGGAGTTTGAAAATACGGTATGGCATGCTTGAGACTAGTTTTTTAAAATAAGCTGTCATGTTTTCATCCCTGTGACACACATTGATAACTTCTTAAATTATCTGCTGCTTTTTTGTTAGTTTTACCAATATGAGTTTACTCGTAATAAAGTTCCACAAATATCTTTTTGGTTTATGTCGTGCGAATTTCCGTGCCAATCTAGAACATGCACCTCATTGTCACCTAAAAGCTTTATGGCAGATTTAGCCTTGTGGCAAGGGGCACCATCCTGCATGAAAATGCTATCTTTTCTTGGGTACCACGTCTTTATGTGATATCAATCTTCCCTAAAGCACCTTCTTGGACTAGTCCTGCCCTATTATTTTCTCCACAACGCGCAGTGGAAGATAGTACTACAAAATCGTACCATAAATGTGTTTTGTTCAAATTTTAATTTAATTACTGAAATTATATTTATACTTTTTCATAGTTTAATAGTCAATCTTTACTAAAATGTAGGAATTTTATCTAATTTTTTGTAAAAAGATCAGTTTTAAAGCCCTACCGTTTCAAATTTTTCTAATATTTTTTAATTCAAACTTATTTGCTTCAAAACTTTAAAAGTTATAAAAATTGTAAAGCATTATATAGTTTTGAAAGCATCTTGCTATGGAGATTTTAGAACAGTTTTATTTTTTAATTATATGGTTTTAATTATAATGATTTTTATTAAAAACAGACTATCTGTTTATAGCAAAAGGTTTTTTGTCCAATTTTTATTGAGAATTAATTTTAATGGGAATACATTTAAATATCTTTGCAAGTTGTGGTGAAAACTTAATCAGTTACTAATGAAAACTGTGTCATTTAAAAAATTTTATATAAAGAGTTTAAATATTTATATAACTGCAACAAATTCACAGTGGAAACTAAATACTTTTTAAAATGACAGCTTTTAAGCGTTCAAAACGTCAACTGTTACTTTCCTTTATTGAAAGAGGAAGAACAACTAAGATACTATCATCAATTTTAAAAGAAAATTATCATGTTTCTCACGATAGCTTGTGTTTGATTGTTAGTGATATTCAAAGGAACATTATTCCGTCGTTTAATAAACAATGGACCGAGGCGTCACGGAAAGTGGAAGCTTTTTTATATAACAACAGTAATTGGTTAGATTCGGAAAATAGTGTATGCCCTACAGAGACACAGATTTATCATTTATAGCACTAACAAAAATATTAACCTTCATTTTAGTTGCTGCCTTGTTTTTGAAATTATCAGATTCTTCAAGTGAATGACATTTATCTCTTAAAAGCGAAAAACTTTTTTGCTCAGTTCTCCATCCTAGCCTTTTAAGCGCAGTAATAATATGTTCTTGGGTTGATTTAACTTCTGCTAAAATCCAACCTGTAAGTAAAAATATTTCATACTTAATATCTTAATATCAAACATTTTTATTAATTTATAACCTAAAGGCCGTTGTAACACAACAGTCAAGGCGAGTAATTCAACCAAAACATGAACGGCTTTGTGTGGAGAAGCAAGTTGAGTGCTTCCAGAGGTGAGGAGGTGGTTCATTAGCAAATCTATTTATTACTCCGTTAATTAACTGATTTAAGTACTGAAATAAGAGTGGAAATATAGATATCAAGAACTGAATTATATCAACATTAAGAGAACTTAATTGTAAGTAATATTTTGTTTTTGATTTACTGAGGAATTATTTTATGAGTGGAATCTGAATTGCAAATTAAATAAATGTTATAAAAACTATATATATATATATATATATATATATATATATATATATATATATATATATATATATATATATATATATATATATATATATATATATATATATATATATATATATATATATATATACAAAAAACTGAAATAAAACTGATTTTGAACTTAAATATAACTTAGTAAATATCACTTATTATACATTCCAATCGCCATCAAAGTCATTAAAAAAATATCATGGCAAGTAAAAGTATGTAAATAATATTTATTTCACAATAGTACATATGTAAGACTATTATGATACATAAGATAATTAAATCTACACAATTCATCAATGCATTTAGAGAATGGCGGTTTTCCATAGTTGCCAAGAAAGAGTATTTCTATCTCTATCCTCTCTAGTTATTTCTTAAAGCCTTTGTTACAGGCTACACTTGACTTACAGGCAAGGCACATAAGGTTACAAATGAAATAGAAAATATTTTGTTCTGCAAATTTACGAAGAAAATTTGGAATCAAGTTGTTTGCAGCCATTGCACATGTATTTAGGTCTTTTTTCCAACAAGATTTTGATAAAATTATATTCTTGTTCTGACGTGTTTGGTAGTCATTGAACTAATTTCTCAACTTCATCTACTCAAAACAAGAGCAATAGACATTTCTTCACTAATTTATTTTTATTTCTTTTTTCTTTCCTACAAAACAAAACCATTTGATTGCACTAACAACAAAGTTTATCCAGAACACATACTCACAAAACATTAACTTTATATATATATATATATATATATATATATATATATATATATATATATATATATATATATATATATATATATATATATATATATATATATATATATATATATATATATATATAAAATATATATATATATAAAATATATATAAATTTATATATATATATATATATATATATATATATATATATATATATATATATATATATATATATAAATATATATATATATATATATATATATATATATATATATTTATATTTTTATAAATATATATATATATATAT